CCTAAAGACACGTCATTGGTATTTCAAGAAATCAAAGGTATTTTGGAGAAATCAAAGGTATTTTGATACCTGCACTGTTTAGATAGAATGTACATAATTTTTGCATAGCTTATATTACTTTTACTAAAACTATTAGGAAACCAGTAGACGTTGGTCTTTCAGTGAAGACCAACACTAACAGAGACATATATAAGCACAGAATGAGAAGTGATTTTTTTTCTCCCATACCTAATGACCTTGAAAAAGTGTTTTAAGTGCAATCAGCATGAAAACAGTAATTCACATAAACGCACCTATTCACTATTTCCATTTTTGTTGCAAGGAAATTGAAATTCATTAGAGAGCTCTATGTTGCTTTAGCATCTTTGGCTTTATGCTCCCTGCCTGTCTTTCCATTTGGGTGATTTGATTTGCTCATATATCTTTTTCGTAGCTGTAGCTAAATAGGTCTTCTACAAACCTGTCTGAAATCCTGCCAGACTGCTAGCATTGCCAATTCCCAGAGCAGTGTCCTGTACAACAGCAGAAAACACATGAAATACACGTTAATCTTTAGCCTTGTAACTCAAATACCTTCACTGATAAAGGCTATTACAGTGATTTGCCAGAGAGAAGTGAGTTGTCTGAACATGTGGTTCTGTTCAGACTGATTTTATTTGCTTTTCTTTAGAAATACAATAGATCATGTTGGGTAAGACATTTACATCCAGCCTGCCCAGAGGCACTATTAAGGACACGTTCTAAAACCCAGAAATACAGTACGGTCTCTTGTAGCAGTATTGACAGGAAGGTGACAAGACTAGTCACACAAAATGACCTACCTTTTCTAAAATATGATATTTTTTTCCCCCAAACTATTAGTACTAGTATTAGGTATATAAACAAATGTATTATCTTAACAACCTTTTAAATCTATATCTTGTAAATCTCTATTTTTGTAAACTAAGATAAGCTGTAAAAAAGCTAAAAGGGAGGCAAATGCTGGGACATTCTTAAGAAGCTTATTTATTTTTCCTGCTGCACTACTGAGAAAAAATTCTGCTCTCAAACTACCAATGAAAGCAAACCAGGCACTGAATCAATCTAGTGCTAATTAGAGATGGACTGGAGCAGAGTTGGGAGCTGGTGCAAGTCCCCGCTGTGTCATTTAAGCACATCTACAAGAAGGTAGATTTAACTTTAGACTGGCTCACCTACTCAGCATGCTGTCTGCTCATCCTAGCCAGGTGTAAGAGGACAACTGTCACAAGCTGGATCAATGAAAACAGCAATTCAAAAAGCAATCTTGGTATATTTTGCAGATGACAGCATGTTGGGTAGGAGTGTTGATCTGCTTGAGGATAGGAAGGCTCTACAGAGGGATTGGGACAGGTTGGATCAATGGTCTGCAACCAATTGTATGTTGTTCAAAAAGGCCAAGTGCTGGGTCCTGCACTTGAGTCACAACATCCCCATGCAACGCTACAGGCTTGGGGAGGAGTGGCTGGAAAGCTGCCTGGCAGAAAAGGACGTGGGGGTGTTGGTTGACACCTGGCTGAACATGAGCCAGCAGTGTGCTCAGGTGGCCAGGAAGGCCAACAGCATCCTGTCCTGGATCAGGAACAGTGTGGCCAGTAGGACTAGGGAGGTGATCATCCCCCTGTACTGGGCACTGGTGAGGCCACACCTCGAGTCCTGTGTTCAGTTTTGGGGCCCCCACTACAAGAGAGACATGGAGGTGCTGGAGCGTGTCCAGAGAAGGGCAAAGGAGCTGGGGAAGGGGCTGGAGCACAGGTCTGATGAGGAGCTGCTGAGGGAACTGGGGTTGTTTAGATCAAAGAAAAGGAGGCTGAGGGGAGACCTTATGGTCTCTTCTTCCAGGTAACAAGTGATAGGATGAGAGGAAATGGCCTCAAGTTGCACCAGGGGAGGTTCAGATTGGATATCAGGAAAAAATTTTTCACTGAAAGGGTTATCAAGCATTGGAACAGGCTGCCCAGGGAAGTGGTAAAGTCACCATCCTTGGAGGTATTTAAAAGATGTGTAGATGTGGTGCTTAGAAATATGGTTTATTGGTGGACTTGGCAGTGCTGGGTTTACAGTTGGACTTAATGATTTAAAAGGTCTTTTCCAACCTAAACAATTCTATGATTCTATTATTTTTTGAAGTCTTCATTCTGCTCTTTCTCCTTAATAATTATTCTACAATTCTAATTCAGTCCTTAATTTCCATTTCAATGCAGCCAAGAGTAGATGTATTTACTGTATTTTAATATAAAAGGAATATACCTGGCTTATTATTTTGTTCTTGACATCTAAGATTTTTTTATATAACGTAAACATGAAAGCAAGTAGCTTTGCAAGCTCATTCCTACAAGTCATAGAATCATGGAATCATAGAATGGTTTGGATTGGAAGGGACCTTAAAGATCATCCAGTTCCAACCCCCCTGCCATCAGCAGGGACACCTTCCACTAGATCAGGTTGCTCAAAGCCTCATCCAGCCTGGTCTTAAACACTTCCAGGGAGGGGGCATCTACAACTTCCTTGGGCAACCTGTTCCAGTGTCTCACCACCCACACAGTGAAAAACTTCTTCCTCATATCTCATCTAAACCTCCCCTCTTCCAGTTTAAAGCCATCTCCCCTTGTTTTGCCATTAACTGCCCTCCCCAGCTATAAGGAGGCCGCTATAAGATCTCCCCGGAGCCTTCTCTTCTCCAGGCTGAACAGCCCCAACTCTTTCAGCCTGTCTTCATAGGAGAGGTGCTCCAGCCCTCGGATCATCCTGGTAGCCTCCTCTGGACTTGTTCTAGCTGCTCCAGGTCTCTCTTGTGATGGGGGCTCCAGAATTGGACGCAGTATTCCAGGTGAGGCCTTATGGGAGCGGAGTAGAGGGCAGTAATGGTCACTTGAATCCATTACAGTATTTTTTCCAAAGCAATCTGTTCAGTCTAACCACAAAACCCTCAAGCACAGGAGTAGCTCTCAAATTAACACAGCAGGTGGGCACACTGCAGACAAACGGCAGGGTGGCCTTCCCCAAACACCAGTACCTTCGTCATGAAATAACAACAGAAAACCTGCATAGCTCAAGGGTGTCAGAATGAAAGCAGACCTTTTGCACAGGTCCCACACCTGGAAATGAAGCTAACTCCTAGGACAGAAGCCACCCTTAGGCTGCTGAGGGAATTGTCTGAACTTGAGAAAATGTCTTTCTCCAAGGGCAGTAGTCCGGACCCTTTCCTAAAAGCTAGTTTAGTTTCCTCAGTGCTGCAAAGGATGAGAAAATTTCTTGTATCATGAATAAGCCATGAGAAAGCTGGGGAAGAACTGTTCACAAGGGCATGGAGCAATAGGACGAGGCATAATGGTTTTCAACTAGAAGAGGGTAGATTTAGGTTGGATATTAGTAAAAAGTTCTTCAATATGAGGGTGGTAGATCGTTGGAACAGGTTGCCCAGAGAGGTAGTGGAGGACCCATCCCTGGAGATATTCAAGGTCAAGCTTGATGGGGCTCTGAGCAACCTGCTCTAGTGAAGATGTCCCTGCTCACTGCAGGGGGGTTGGACTAGATGACCTTTGAGAGTCCCTTCCAACCCAATACATTCTGTGATTCTATGAATCATCAGTTTCATTCCCTCCTTTTTCAGAGCAAGTCCTTTTTGTTGTTAAAATATATATATATACATACTTTTAATCTGGGGATTTTCTTTAAGATAAAATGAACACAGCAGCACCTTTCAGAGACAGACCTTTACAACCTTTATGAAATCTGTTCACTTTGAGCATCCTGAGGACCAAACCGTAAAAGGGGAAGGAACACGAGGGGCTTGGAAGTGCCAGGAGCTTCTCCCTGCCCAGACCACAGCCCAGCCCCAACAGAGGAATGCAGAGGCCAGGGCTGGACCTACCAGGGTGCCAATGTGGTTCATTATGGGGTAGATTTGCTAATGCAGCTCAGGCTGGTGAGAAGATATCTGGCATTCAAAGGTGCCCTTGGCAGCTCTTACTCTGTGGAGATGCTCAGCATCACTCTGTGTCTTTCTTCTCAACTTGGCTCCATTTGCTCAGTGCTGAAATTGATTCGTCAAGCACAGCAGGGCATTGTTGGAAGGAAAAGAGGAAGAACCTGGCTGACCTCAGGCTTGTGGCAAAGAGTTGTTCAGGCACTGGCATGCAGGAAACCACTGCCCAGTACTGGAGTCTGGGAAGAAGTATTTTGGAGAGGTCACCATGTCCAAATGAGGGAAGGACTGTGTTGATCATGGCTTAGCTCCCAACTCAGTCACAGGCACAAACTTGCTAAGCCTGCCAGCTTAGCAGCTTCATTGACTTAGACCTCAAAACACAATGTGTCCGTAACGTGGCCTTCCTCTTCCTCCCTTTCTACATGACCTGAACTTCATTACTGGAGGTCTGGGTTCTCCTCCAGTTCTCTCTGACATTTTTTATTAACTTAGTGCCTGATTTAAGAGAAAGCTCTGTTGGCCCACTCCAAAAGTTTCTTTAAGAGTAAAGAGTAAAAAAAAAATTGAGATATTCTGCTGGTGTACCCTCACTAGGCTGGTTGCAACCAGGCAGCTTTGTGAAGCTTACCAAAGGAATTGCCAGTTCCTCTCTTCAAATAAAAAAAATTTTTTAAAAAATAAAAAAATCAGTTGAGAAAACATAAAAAACCCAAACAAAAAAGCATCTTTATTAAAGTGAAAATTACATCCATCACAGATGGGTTTGCTGTGTTACTTGTTCTTTTTCATTTGTAAAATCTTAATTTCCCTGCCTTAAGAGTTCTAGTTTGGGCAGTTTCCAGTAGGGAGGCCTCTGTTGTTACCTAGACCACAATCTGCCCTGAATTAATTTCTGAATTTGGGTTTTTTTCAGTACATGTGATGTTGCGTACTTTGGAAATACTTGAGCATGACATACTCTTTGCCAATTTGTTGTGGTTTTTCAACTGTATTCTCTATGTAAACTGTGAGAGAATGTCATTGTCACATATTCTTTATATATATTTTTTAGGAGCACCTGAAAGCTTTTGACCGGGAAGTAAATGAATTTGTGGACTATATGTTTGGACCTCGAGGTAAGCTGCTCCACCTATAGCCCTTTTAGGAAATAATAGCTATCCAGATTACCACTCCAAAACATTCTAATAAACAGAAGCAGTTAAAATCTTCTATCTGAATAATTTCTCATTGAAAAATATGGACTAGGCAGAATCACAGTATTTGCAGGAAGATGTCATTATTATAGGAAATCAATCAATCCACTGCATTTATAGAAAGCAAGTAGATTTCTGTTTTGATTGTTTGACATATTATCTGTAATACAAATTAAAACCAATCAGTTCATACTGAAGGTGAAAGACGAAATGGAACTTTAAAAAAAAAACCAACTTAAAATCATTAGATTTTAGAGTCCTTTGTTTCTGAGATTATTAAAGGATTTCAATTTTACATCCTAATGAAGATTTAAAAAATTGAAAGCCTGGATTTTTCTGAAAGTGGAAGATCTGTTTTGAGACTGATTCTCATTCATAATCCAGTTATTGTTTGGTCCAGCTACCTATCAAATAGCCTAATTCAAAAGGATGCTCAGGGCAAGAAAAGGGCTTAATTGCCCCACAAGATCACATCCAAAATTTCAGTAAACCAATAGACAGGAAGGGAGAACAAATGCACCTTTCTACTTCCTATTTTTGCTTTCTAAAATGGTTTGGACAATAACAACTTGAGTAACTGTACCTTAGAGGTGCCTCATGCTTAGTTAGGACTGAGACAAGCAATAATCAAATAAAAACAAAACAAAACAGAAAAACCCCGTGAAGTAGGACTGCAGAAAGAGAAAGGCCATGGCAAGGTGAGGATGATGCATCAAAGTCAAGTCTAAGAGTGCCAAGCAACTAAAGGAAAGTGGTAAGACAGGAACTTAGACAGCAGCCAGTCTTCTGAGAAGGTTCCTGTGAGGCCACCTTGCTGCCGATAGGGCTGGGCTTAAATATTCAGCTTCAAGAATAGCCTTGCAAACTTTCCTCCATGGTTTAATCCAGAACTGCTGCCCATGTGGGTGGACATATGCTTATGTATTCTCATTTTGTTGCAATAATGTCTTCCAGGTTCCAGAAACAGTTCTTGCCTAATTAGGAGGACAAGGGGAAAAAAGTTGTAGCATTCTTAAAATCAAGAAGTTCTCATTTTTCTTGGCTGGCTGGCTACAAAATCTTTTCCATCATCTCCACAGTAGATGTGAAGCTTAAAAGAAAGATTTCTGGGAAATACTGAACAGATTGGGAACTGCAGGAAAAGTGATTAATAATAAGTTTTATTAATGGCTACTACAATAGTGCCTTTTAATATTAATGAAGAAATGTGATCACAAGCATAAAGGCACTACTATTTGGGTTTGTTTTTTTTTTTTTCCAAATGGACATGATGTTGTCCTTCATTCCTCTTTCCTTGTTGGTCCAGAACACAATGTTTGAAGGAGCAAACTGTATTTAATCTAATGCAGAATACCACACAGATCCCTTTGGGCTTTTAGAATACCACACAGATCCCCTTGGGCTTTTAGAAAGCACTTTAGTTACACAAGTATTATTTGTATTACTTGCCAAGTACATCACCATCACTCTACAGACTTCTGTTCTGGAGATAGCATTTGTTTCTCCATGCCTCTTCACTATGATCTTTAATTTAACTGGTGGAATAATAACACAGTATCATACATTTCATTAATAATATAGCTCCCTCCAATGTGTTTACACACATAAATAATTCACAATAAATTGAAAACAGTTTTTAATTGGATAAAGTGATCCAACTAATGAAAATTTAATGAATTCTTGTGAGCTTCCCCAAATGGCCAAAACCACCAAACCGTTCTCCTTCTTAATCTCCACCAATTTTCATCCACAGCGCACACTTCATTCAGGTGCAAGATGGCTTAAAAGGATAGATAACAGTGGTCTATTCTTTTTAAAAAACAATCCTATATTTATGGTTTATATTTTAGGTAGTAACTCCTGAAATACTGATATCACTATACTGGTTTTAGTCATCATCACCAGCTGTGGCTGAGGGCATGAGAAGAGATAGAAAAGCACGTGCTAGTTCCCAGAGGCAATCCCTGCTCGCACCGATTGCACCAGGTTTACACAAGGTGCAGCACTGCACTACTAGAATAAGGGGCGTAGTAGCAAAGATGTGAATTTGATTTATATACAGGCATATTTTATGTCTTTGTTCACTAGTTCCAGCTGGACTTTGTACACAAATTTACCTCGATGTTTGCTATTGATCTCGCAGACTGAGTCCTTTGCATCAGGGAATAGAAGCCATATACATACCCATCAGTCGCATCTCTTAAGAAGAAGTGGTCTTACTGTTTGGTATTGGTCCATATATCCATATCTGGATAGATTATCTAGGCTCAAAGCAATACGAGAAACAGTGAAAGATTGTTCTGTAAGAGAAAGTTTTTCTAGAGTCGCCTTCATCTGCAGTATAATTTAGTGTTACTCAAAATTAAGGAATATTGAATTGCAGGAGCTAAATCTAGTTAATTGTTTGCTTGATTTATCTGTGAAAGAAATAAAATATATCATGAATAGATATATTTTAATAAAGTTATGATAAAGTAATAAGCACTCCTCCTCCCCTCAATTGAGGACGAACAGTAGCAGGGCGTTGGTGCAAAACCATCTACCCTCTGCACCTAGAGAGGTCTGAATCTACTCAGACAACTGGCCAAAGCTACACAGAAATCTGAATCAAAATGTTTTTAAACCTCACTGATAAAAGCCTGATACCTTTAAAGAGCCGAGGAGGCCTGCCACTCCTTTCAAAGGAGCCAAGGTTTAACCCCAAGGGTCTGGCACATTGTGGCCAGTGACTGTGAATGAGCTTATTCACGGAGTGATCAGAGCTTGTGGGCGCCTGCTCCTTCCCCTGCTATAGTCCAGTATTTTCACACTGTGGCTTTATTCACTGCTTTGGTCTCAAATTCAGATTCAATATTGTAAAAATAATCCTTTCTCCTGTTGACAGCATTCCTTTGTAGTACTTGAACGTGGAGATCGAATCGTCAGTCAACAGAAATACTTTTGATCTCTGTTTCCCCCAATAACTTTTTTTTAAATGCTTTGCCTTTCCTGTCCCTTTCTGCCACATAAAAACCTCCCTCTTCTTGTCATTCAGGGACAAGTGTAAGTGGAAAGAAAATAGTCACATTCCTTGGCTGCTGTTTATAAACTACTTTCTGCCAATAACTGTCTTATCCTTCAAGGTACCAAGGTCAGGGTAGAAAATAATCAGAGCAAGGGTGGCTTGTGAACTTCAAGAGGACTGTTGGAAGTGTTTTACTCTCACATTGAGGTGATCTTAAATAGACATTGAGATCAGCAGAAAGAAAACAGGCGTTATAGCTTGGTAAGGCACAGCAAAGCAAGGCTGCCCTACAGGAAGGGTGGTGCTTTGTCCGAGATGGCTGTTCGTGACTGCTTTAATCCTAAACTCTCCTCTCCTAGGGGTTTTGGGGAGTCCAGAAGGGAGAGCTAAAACCAGGAGACCACTAGACTTCCATAGTAACTTAGGTCTGGTTGAAAGTCTTTCCTACAAAAGAGCTAACATCCCACGTGGAACCCAAATCCAACACGAGTGTTACAGCCACTGCAATGGACATGAGGTGGGAAGTGGAGGGAGACTGTAATGAAAAAGATAGCTGATGTTCATAAGCAGATTATTCATTTAAAAATCCCACTTTATGGATACCTGTATGCACATATTTCTGAGGAAAAAAATAGTCGGAAAGAGTAAAGTACAGCAAAATTGCAATCATAACAGTTTGTTAAACACTTAGGCACATTTGGTTTTTCCATCAGCCATTGGCCAGTCTTTTCCAAATTCAACACAGGCAGAAAAATAGTAAAATGTTTTTCATACACTGAATACTTTTTCTTCTTTTACAATTTTTAACATAATCTTGGTCTTTGTAAAAAAACAAAAAACCCCCAAACTATGTAATTTAAAACAGTTTCTTAAGAGCAGAAAGAACTACTGTGACCTGCATAATAGCTTCTCACCGACTTATTTCTTCATTTACTCCATAAATTGCGACAGCTTTAGAGTAAACCTTTTTGAAAAACTAACCATCATGCCCCTTGTTCTTTTCATAGATGTCTAAAGATTGTTGCTGTGGAAAATTAACTCTAAATTTTACTCCATCTTGAAAAAAAAAATAAAACCAAGCCCCACACGCTCCTTTCACTCATGACATCCGGTTGCTCATAGGACAATGAAGCGGTGCCTCCAGATTGGCATACAGGATTAGGCTTTGCTCGCATACACAGAGTTATCTGATTACTGCCAATGGGATTACTTGTGTGAATAAGGCAAGCAGGATTTGACCTTAATATTTTGCTTCGGGAGCAGGCAAATGGAACAGAAACTGTGAGAAAGCAAATTGCCTTGCCATGTATCTTTGCTAACCACCAAAGTAAACATTTGCCATTTGTTTTTTGTAATTAGTGTTTTTGAAAAATCCTCCCCTTGTAGAAATGTTCTCTAACAAATGTTATATACCTTCATACTTACATGGTAAATACAAAATTAAAATAATACATGAATTGGCAATTTTACATGCATACTTTGTATTTAATACTATCTGCAAACTGCCCATCAAGCAGATTATGATATGATTTAGTTAAATATCAAGTTAAAGCATTAAATTCATTTTTCAAAAGCATATAGGAATCATTTCTTTTCATTTTCTACTTCCTGTTAAAATGAGGAAATTTAAGTGACCATAAGGAATTCCATGCAGTTTTCAGCACACATTCTCGGAATTAGTATGCAGTTTTGGGGAGGTAAAAGCAATGGGTAGCTCTTGCGAGCAAAGCAGGGCAGATTCCCTCTCATGCTTTTAGCAGGTTTTTTTCCACAATGTGACCTGCCTTATTTTAGCAATACTTGACCATTGCCTTCTTAATTGCTTGCTGCATGTGTTTCGTTTCAGATGCCAGGGTTAGAGGATGGTTCCTTTTGGACTCTTACCTCCCCACGTTTTTCCTTACTGGAGCATACCTACTCTGCATATGGCTGGGCAACAAGTTCATGAAGGACAGGCCTCCTTTCTCTCTCAGGGCTCACCTCATTGTATATAACCTTGGGATTACGCTGCTCTCCTTGTACATGCTCATAGAGGTAAGTGTTCTTCCATGTGGCACAGCCAAGAAAGGTGAGCAATAGACAGTTTTTACAGTTTCTAGGAAATTTAACATCAACAGCAAAGTAAATTTAAGATCAAAAATCCCTCAGTAGTTGAACAACGAGTTGTACAGTATCTTCTTATCTTAGATCTCAGCATGTTTTAACTGTCCCCACCTAGGGACAGCTAGCTGCTACCAGGACAGCAGCTACAAGCATGAATTTGAATCTGCAGCAGTTGCTCAGCTTAAACATGCCTACACCTCATTCTTCAGCACCCATGAATATGCCGATGGATTGGGTTTCATTCATATGACTGTCTATGGAATGATTTTTCTATGTACTAATGCCCATGCTTAAACCTCATCAGATTTATAGATGAGAGTAAGTACTGATTTATTTACACTGTTTGCAATTCAACGTTATTTTTCTGCTCTCCTGACTAAGAAGCTTTCCTCATATAGTCAGAGAGTAAGAGACAGACGTTAAAAACCTGACACTTCAGCCAAAAGCAAGTGGGGCTTGGAGGCTGAATATGGTCACACAGATTATTCACAAGTACTTCTCAGGAAGGAATGCGCTCACAGAAATCATGATCCATTCAAAATCAGAAGAGAAGTTTGAATGCATCTGATGATTTTGCAACAGCAGAGTACTCAAACAGTGCTCCTCAGCAGACGTGTGTGTTTTCACCTCCCCAGTGGGGAGCAGAAGCCAAAAGTCATTATTTTGATATTATTTGGGAGCTCCCCATCCTCAGCCTTGTGATAATTGAGGTACTTTTAATATTAAAGTCTTAACATCCATCAGAAGGGCAACGGAGCTGGTGAAGGGTCTGGAGCACAAGTCTGATGAGGAGCAGCTGAGGGAACTGGGGTTGTTTAGCCTGGAGAAAAAGAGGCTGAAGGGAGACCACCTTGCTCTCTACAACTGCCTGAAAGGAGGATGTAGAGAGGTGGGGGTTGGTCTGTTCAACCAAGTAAAAAGTGACAGGACGAGGAATTGGCTTCAAGTTGCGCCAAGGGCAGTTTAGATTGGATCTGAGGAAGAAATTTTTTACTGAAAGGGTTCTCAGGCATTGGAAGGGGTTGCCCAGAGCAGAGGTGGAGTCCCCATCCCTGGAGATATTTAAGAGTTGTCTAGACATAGTACTTAGGGACATGGCTTAGTCATGGTTTAGAGGACATGTCAGTGTGAGGTTAACAATCAAACTTGATGATCTTCTAGACCTTTTTCAATTGAGGCAATTCTGTGATTCTGTGATCACTTGTGGCCCCAAGAAACAAACACAAAAAGACAAAAATTACAAAAAAAATTCTGACATGACTTAAAAAGTGGCTGTGGGCATGAGAAGCTCTGGCTGAAGGATTTCCTGGTGTGACCTGCAGAGGTATGAGCTGGCATTGCTGCCTGGCCTGCACAGCCTCACAGCATTTCTTACTCCCTGGGCTCCCAGCCACAACAGCAATTTCCACAAGAGAAAACAAGGACTGACTGTTCTGTCAGCTGGACAAGAAACTTTGCAGAAGCCAAACAGGACCACAAAGATTTCAAGTTTTAAATTATTTTGAGCTAAACACGGGGTGAATAACCTGGTCAAAAGGCTGAACGGCAGGCTAGGTTTGTGCTTTTGTGCAGAGGACCAACTGCGCTACACAGAGCTTCATCCTGGTCAAAGCTCCAGTTGGCTTCAGCAGGTGCTGTGGGTGTCAGAGTGCAGGATCAGGCCCAAAGCAAAGGAGAAACCAACACAATTGCTGGAAGGTTTTATGATTCCATACTGATTGTCCTCCAGAATTTAAATTAACACTTTGATGTTTAAATCCCCATTTTCCTTGAAGGAAGGAACTGGGGTTGTTTAGCCTGGAGAAAAAGAGGCTGAGGGGTGACCTTCTTGCTCTCTACAACTACTTGAAAGGAGGTTGTAGCGAGGTGGGTGTTGGTCTCTTCTTTCAAGTGACCAGTGATAGGACAAGAGAAAATGGCCTCTAGTTACACCAGGGGAGGTTTAGATTGACTATCAGGAAAAATTTCTTTACTGAAAGGGTTGTCAAGCATTGGAACAGGCTGCCCAGGGAGGTGCTTGGGTCACCATCCCTGGAGGTATTTAAAAGACGAGTAGATGTGGCACTTAGGGATATGGTTTAGTGGGCATGGTGGTGTTGGGTTGATGGTTGGACTAGGTGATCTTAGAGGTCTTTTCCAACCTTAATGATTCTATGATTCTATAACTGTCTTCAGTAGCAGGACTCAGAAAAAAAGGATTAACTGAACAAAAAACAAAAATACTGCTCCCTTCCCCTTGCAGGCTGACTTGGCCTGCCACAAGTAAATGAACGAACCAAGAGAATTTTAGCAGGTCTCACTTACATGAATGAAGCAAACTTGGGTTTTGCCACCTTCACATCCTTGTAGGAATTGCGTGGAGCCAGTTCCCCTTCAGCCATCCGACTGCCCTGTCCTTCCCGAGGCTACCTTTGCTGCACACAATTGCTGAGTTGTTTTACTCCTCAGATTAGTCCCTTTAGACCTCGATTCTGCAGCTGGAGGGGGCAGATTTACACCTCTCAGGCTGCAGCTGGGCATGGCTGGCAGTGACCTGTAGCTCCACATTCTCCATTTTCCAGAACCTGGGAGACATCATGACTGATCCACACTGCCAGTTGTTCACTGCAGATTTCACTCTTAGCTCTGGACTGTCAACCAGGCTGGTTTTACACTGTACAAAACATTCTTCCATCATAGTGGCTCTGCATTTTTTTCATAGTCTACTTGCCTGCTTCCTATTACAGCTTCTCCTGTGAAGGAGCAAAATGGAAGTTAAGACTTGCAGACCTGCCTCAGGCAGCTTGTACATCCCTGCTGAAGGCAAATGGGAGAGCAGAAATCATCTTCAGTATTGAATAAAGTTATGGTGACTCAATATTTCAAAATGTTTCATTTCCAAAGCTTCTTTCTGGCCCTTATTCTCTGTCTTTTGTGCCTCTTTAAGGCAAGAGTTACCTATTTTTAGAGCATTCTGCCCAGTGGTTTCTTATGTAAATAGAGCTGATACCTTCAGTGAGTATGATTCAGGATTAATTCCTAGTTAGAGACATCTCTAACTGTTGTCTTATTCCTCCATCCTCCCACTGCACCTGGACCCCTCTGGTCTCTCTTACAGAGATAAATCACAAAATAATAAGCTCTATTGTAGAGATAAACTGCAAAACCCCCTTCCATTTATTGGCATTGTTCTTATTTCTTCTTGGTTTTGTTTATAAGGTGCCACACAATTTTTCTTGTGATAGCTCTAGAATAGAGTGGGTGCTTCTTAGACATCCAAAAGAAAAATATCTCATTCAAGAGAAAAATATCTCATTATCTCATTCAAAAGAAAGGGTGTTTCTCCAAATGCAGACTGTCCCACATGATGGCTTTAATAAGAAACATGGTAAACCAGCTGATGGGCGTACTTGTGCTGCAATTCTTAGCAATCCTAAACCTAGTTTAGCTATCCCTTGACTACAGTTCACTTGCACAACTACAAGGCAAGAAGATGAAGGTTATACCAAGGAGTCATAACAAAAGGGTTCGTTTTAAATCTCCAAGAACAGATTCCTCTTTACAGCCAGAGCTCCACGTGAACATCATGAACATCTGGGAGCTAATTTTAGCTCCATGAGCTCTGAGGTGAACCAATTTCTGAAGTACTTGGAGGAACAGCTCCAGGACAACTCTAAGGTCAGATACCCCTATTAGCCTCGAAGGACAAGATCTAAAGAAAAACTTTTGTCTTAAGAAAGTGTTAGGTACCTTTGAAGGCTTTCCAGAAGGGTAGTTTATTAGACCTTAATTTAGACTTCCGAGTTAGGCAGATGGATTTTCTTGAAGTTGTCAAAGGCACTTACCTCTCCCCAGTGGATAGAATGGAGAAGTGGGGCACTTAGTTTTGGAACACGGCTTTTTCAAGTACCTGAAGTTTAGATGCAAGAGCTGTGCTTAAACTAGGCAGGCTGCAGGTGCACTGCCAAGGGGCCAGAAGACAATTCCCTCCACCCTTGCTGCTACAAGAGAAACCGGCATCAGAATTTGTTACTGACGTTCATAGACCCAGATCAAGTCCACTGATCCAACAACAAGTTCTAGTAATGTTGCCAAAAATCTGCATAAAGGAAAACAACCACCATCGTTTTATTTTAATAAAAATAAAAGCTTTTAGCTATTTCACTGAAGAAATATGTGCCTTTCCTCTACACAAATCTCTGCCTAAGATCCTAAAAGTACCAACTATGAGCAGAAAACTAGCTTACTGTGGAAAGCAATCAGGTCTTTGCATATTTTAAAATTATTTCACGTGCAAGTGAACACACAAACCACACTCCAGGGATGCAGTCTGAGGTGCCAGGGGCCAAGATAAGGTTTTGAAGTTCACCACAGGATAAAACCGTCACAACTCCAATGATTAATTAAAACTGGAAACAAAGGAGACCAACACTGATGTCTGAATTGTGAAATTACTCAGGTAATGATACTCTCCCTCATTAACAGGGAAAAACGTAATCTGCTACCATGGTCTTAGGCTGCTTTCCCCAGCAGCGAGTACCACCTCCACCCTACTTAAATTAAACCTCAGTTAGTCATCAAGCTCTCACCCAAGTCCTTTTGTTGATCAGGCACTGAGCAAACCGGGACACTGCTACATCTGGATCAGATTAAAAAGGAGATCTGGAGATACATGTCATTATCATAGGGGTGGCGTGATATCTCAGGCTACCTGTATCCCCAGGTCGTTTCACAGACTTATTACAAATCTATAGGATTTGTAAGCAAGCAACCACATCCATGTGGGGAATCAGGACTTGCACGTGAGGACCCCTCAATTCAGAGCAAAGGAAAAAGAGAAGTGCACAAGTATTGCAAGCCCAGAGAATTAACCTTTTTAGTAAAGCCAGAAGAAAAATCTTTTACCTTACGGGATTAAAAAAATTGGTAAATCGCTTTCACTTTACATGTTT